AGTGCATTTTCAATGGGAAAAGTAGTCAGAATCGGAGTACCTTTCCTATAGGAAAACTAGTCAGAATCGGAGTACCTTTTGTATAGGAAAAGTAGTTAGAATCGGAGTACCTTATCTATGGAAAAAGTAGTTAGAATCGGAGTACCTTTTCTATAGGAAAAGTAGTCAGAATCGGAGGACATTTCCTATAAGAAAAGTAGTCAGAATCGAAGTAGCTTTTCTATGGGAAAAGAGGTCAGAACCTGAGTACCTTTTCTACAGGAAAAGTAGTCAGAATCAAAGTACCTTTTCTATAGGAAAAGTAGTCAGAATCGGTGAACCTTTTCTATAAGAAAAGTAGTCAGAATCGGAGTACCTTTTCTATAGAAAAATTAGTCACAATCGGAGTACCATTTGTATCGGAAAAGAAGTCAGTATCGGAGTAACTTTTCTATAGGAAAAGTAGTTAGAATCAGTGTACCTTTCTATAGGAAAACTAGTCAGGATCGGAGTACCTTTTCTATAGGAAAAGTAGTTAGAATTGGATTACCTTTTCTATATGAAAAGTAGTTAGAATCGGAGTACATTTTCTATGGGATAGTAATCAGAACCGGAGTACCTTTTCTATAGGAAAAGTAGTTAGAATCGTAGTATCGGAGTACCTTTTCTATAGAAAAGTAGTCAGAATCGGAGTACCTTTTCTATAGAAAAACTAGTCAGAATCGAATTACCTTCTCTATAGAAAAGTAGTCAGAATCGGAGTACCTTTTCTGTAGGAAAACTAGTCAGGATCGGAGTACTTTTTCTATAGGAAAAGTAGTCAGAGTTTGATTATCTTTTCTTCAGAAAAATTAGTCAGAGTATGAGTACCTTTTCTAAAGGAAATGTAGTCAGAATCAGAGTACATTTTCTTTAGGAAAGATATTCAGAGTATGAGTTCTATAGTATGAGTTTTCTATAGAAAAAGTAGTCAGTGTTTGAGTACCATATTTATGGGAAAAATAGTCGGAGTACCTCTTCTAAAGGAAATGTGGTCAGAATCGGGTACCTTTTCTGTATAAAAATTGTCAAAAACTGAATACCTTTTCCATATGAAATGCAATTAGACTAAATACGTTTTCTGTATACAAGACTGAATAAGATATAAGTAGTTGTAATCTATAGTAAAATATACAAAAACATGAAGCAGGATAAAAGTATTCACAGGTGTAGTACCTACCAAAAGTAAATAACTTTTTCATAGGTAAAGTAGTCAGAATCTAGTTATGTTTTCTGTAGAAAAGCTAATTACAATCTAAGTACTTTCTCTAAGAAAAGTAGTCAGAAATGTTGATCTGAATCTAAGTACTCATCCGTAGAAAAATTATTCAGAATACGAAATTTTAAAGTAAATTATAAAAGCTTCAATAAAGTCGTTCTTTTTTGTATTGTTTTATTAAAAATATTTATTAAAAATTTTATCTAATAACTGTCTGAATTTAGATAAACAATTATTCTATTGTTTTACTTTTATTAGCATTTTTCCATTTTCATGATATTACTTTAAAAAATTTTGATTTATTTACATTTTTCTCAAATCATGACAGTCTTGTTATTTTATATTTCTTTAATGTCATGTTACATCTTTACTTCTTTATTCTTAAGAAATTTAATACTAGTTTAACAGGGCGTATGATTGACGTATAATATAAAAGTGCATATTATGAAATATGTATGTAAATGGTTGTGTTAAATAAACCTAAGGTAGGTTAGATTTTCTTTCAAAATTGTAGAAATATATTTTTCTTAGATGCCAAGGAAAAAAATTTCATAAATACTAAACGGATAACTTTAAGAAGTGAAATGAAATTTTGCAGGTTCTTACGCATATTAACTCAAACTTATCATAGGAGAGATAACAAAATTTTTTTAATTTTTATTTAGCAATATAACGTGATATAGAATAATAATTTGCCATCATTTTTCTTAATATATTCACGCTTTTTTGTATGTATAGACGAGCCATACTAATATGTATTTATAATAAAAAATTTACATAAACATTAATAAACCTGTCGAACAGTATGTTAACCCCAATTTTTTTCTCTTTATAAAAAAATCTGTTGAAAATCCTTTTATTAATAAATATTTTCCAATGAAATGACAAGCCTTCCAGGCACCCTTATCATCAAAAAAAATAAGAGAAGAGAATTGAAAGTCCCAACAACCTGGTCTTGCAAAATTTTAATATAAAAAATATATTTTGGTTTTTTACCTTAAATTGTAGAATTATTTTCCTTTTTGCAAAATCATTAATCTATCAATCAAATGTATATTTTATTTAAAGATACTTTCCTTCGTTATGCCCATCAATGAGGGATTTTTATTTATTTATTTTTGATACTCTTCTTTAAATACAAGTAGAAAAGCAAGCAAAGTATGTATTTAAGTATATCAGTATAATAAAAATAATAAAAATAAAATTTAATACTGTCTGAAAAGTTGTACTTTAAGAAAAACATAAGCAGACAAAAAAAAACTACAGAGATCAACAGCAATTGACAATTGAATGTTGAATGCGGATTTAATAGATTATAAAAATTAATTTTGAGTTTATTGAATCGTTGGTAGAAAAAAACATAAGAATTTTGAATAAATTTAAGATGTTAAGCAAAATAAATAAAAGTTTAAGATTGTAATATTTAATATGGTAGGAATACATATAAAAATAATAATTGAAAATGAGTATGAGTGATATTTAATTTATGTGTTTAACGAAATTGTTACTCATACGCTACGTTGTAAAACATTGAAATGTAATTTGTAATTAAAATTATTTTCGACAATATCCCGATCAAATTCAGCATAAATACTTTGTATATAAACCTAAATGATTCCACCAAATTTTATAAGGATCGGCCCATATTTAACCCTATACCCCATATAAAGCATCTTTCAGAAAATCAGTTTTTGAACAATTTTGTATTAAGAAAAATCTCAATAACGTCGTCAATTGCTAAGGGATTTTTAAAAACAAAGTTGCGTTTTACTCATATGTAGACATGGTTTTCTAATCAATTTATAAATAGTACGACTTCCATATAAAATACTTTGAAAAAACATCTCCAAACTTGAACAAGCAAGAAATCGTAGTCGGCCGAGGCCGACCATATGTATAATACCCTACACTAGTTACAAAAATAAAATGTGATTTAGTTTTCATAACAAAGCCTTTCAGCTGAATTGTACCTTGTGGATCCTCCCTGGGCATGTTTCCTTGAAGATAGATGCGCATCTTGGTGTATTGCAATCCGGGGAAAATGAGGTATTACCAATACCTTTAGTCTGCCGGGACTTTAAACTGGTGATGTCACTTCACTCCTCGGCTAGTCCTTGGTATGATTTGACATGGGGTCTAACCAGAGAACCACATAATCTGGTACTAAGGGTGGCCAGTTGCCCGCAGGACCATGTCCAGGCTGATCAGTTGGTTGAGATTCCTTCGGGATCCACGTAGTGGCTGTGGTTTAAAGTCAAATTCGCGTGAAGAGTAAGTGGCGGTTAAAAGACTGATGTAAGGTAAAGTCAATATTTCGGCATAAGTTCGGTGCTGTTGCCGAGAACAACAGATACCCCACAGAAGAGTGACTGTGGGACTAAGCGTTGGAAATGAGTTGGTGATAATTGTATATGGTACGTGATGGGCCTCACCCACCCGTTTACATAGAATAAGTTTGTCGTATATTTAGCTCTTATGAGTGTGTCGGATGAATGAGAAGTGTGCTGGGTTGAACGATGATGGACGAAAGATATCATATATAAATGACACTATTGTATTTTCCTTCCTTGTCCAGATATGTTCAGTGTCTCACTGTGAGTAAGAACAAAGTCTCAGCTTATTTGATGGATTCGTACTTCGCTCTACCGGTTACGTCTCTAGGCGCTGTTGCCCAATCAACAGAAGCCATCCCATCTGCGTGGTTATAAACGGAAGAGATGTTTTACATCTCAACGGGGCAGCTATGGTCAGAGATTATATAGCTCAAGTATTTGAGCAAAGTGCGCGTATATTGGACCGGCATCCATATACGTAAATTGTCACCTGCGTGTAACAAACACTATGGGGCAGTGGTGAGTCGTCACAAAGCTCACCCAGTGGTTGAAAAAGACCACTGTGAGATACGCCAACACGACAGGTACTCACGTAAAGCGCTTCGGCATTCGTGTGCCTTGTGGACATTTAAGTAAAATTTTAAAGGGGGCTTTGTATAGGGCCAAGGGTCAAATGAGGCCCTATAATTATAAAATTCATGAGGGTCATCAAGGCTAGTAAAGAACTTGGTTATGAAGCTTTTTGTCGAGATACGAGTATATAAAACATAATTATGAACTTATTCGGGGGCTAGGTGAAATAATAGACCGATCTTAACCATTTTCAATAGGCTTCGTCCCTGGGACAATAGAAGATCTTGTATCAAATTTCATTGAATTATCTTCAAAATTGCGACCTGTAGTTTGATTACAAGGCTTACATGAACGGACAGATAGACAGACAGACAGACAGACAGACAGACAGACAGACAGACAGACAGACAGACAGACAGACAGACAACCAAACAAACAGACAGATAGACAGATAGATAGGCGGACGGACAGACAGATAGACGGACAGACGGAACTAAGTCGACTCAGAAAATGATTCTAAGCCGATTGTTATACTTTAAGCTGGGTATAGCACAAACTCAATATACATAAATAATGTGTCAACTTAATATCCGGCAGTAAGCAGATCCGATCAATAAAGTAGGTCTTAGCTTAAAAAAGGAGATTTTGGGGATAAAATTTTGCACAAACTATAACATTAAAAAAAGGAAGAATTGACATTGTATCTTCCTTATATTTTCTTTAATAATCATTTTGTTGTTAAATAACATTTGTAATGCAACTGGTATGAGCTAAGGCTTTCTAAAATATAAATATTACCTTTACTTACATTGTTTTAATTAAAAATAGAAAAACATTGACATAATAAATGTTCCCACCTTTTTGTACAAACATGTTTCTAATTAATATCAACTATACAAGTAAAAGGCAGTATTCCGCCTGTAAAATATTTAATAAAAACTATATAAGCAATGAAATTAATATAATGATAAGGGGTAAAATAAACTTAAAAAATTCTGATAAAATAACGTGGGCAGTAAATTGAAAATAAAATATGTCTTCAAATGATTTAAGGACAATAAAATACCCCAGAATTTTATCAAAATTTTCCCTCAAATTAAATTTTATGAATAAGTAGCATTTCAAAATTTATACAGTTGCTATGTATGTGTGACACAAATTAATCCAACTGGAATATTTTTTTAAGCGCAGCTGATGTACAACGATCATTGAGCTTTAAAAAAATGCCAAACATATTAAACAATAGAATTCAAAAATAATTAAATATTTGATATCTATTTATCAAATGTTTAATTAATGTCGTCATAAAACATATTGACACAGCTGTGTTTCTGCAAACTCTATTGGAAGTCTTTGTCTATGTTCAAAAGATAAATGTTATTAACCTTTTTTTTAGAAATATCTAACAAATATCAAAAAAATTAAATTTTTGGGGAATTTGATATAAAGTTTCAGAACACTTCTGAGCGTAGCAAATAAATTTAGCCAGATGTTTTTAAATGCTTACATTAAAATAAAAGTTCAAGGTTAAGATTAAAAATAATTACTTTCTAGGTGAAAAAAAGAGGTCATACATGATCAACTCTTCATATGTTGGCTTGTAGTTTCCATTAGAAAATTACTCCATTCAAAATAATTAACACATTCAGTTTGATTAAAAATATTGATTGTAGCCCCACACGCAGAGAGAAAAATCTAAGAGCAACATATTATGGTCAGAATTATGTTTAAAGTTAAAACATATTATGATCATTATTAGTATCAAAAATATCATATTATGATCATTATTAGTATAATAAGATATCATATTATGATTAAACATACTACTAATATTTAATAATAATATAGTTTTATTAATCATAACGAGATGTTGTAGCATCATATTGTAGTTTCAAGTAGCAATGTTATGGTTTCATATAATCATATAATGGTTTGTGCGTAATCATATTATTGTTTAAAGTAACCAAAAAAACCTACCATTTTATGGTTATTTAAAAGTTTAAATGGTTCTAAATAATATAATATGTTTAATTAGTTATCATTATTTATTTGTTGTAAAAATAATTTTTTTTTCAGAGAATCATTCTCAAATTTATAATTGTTATAAACATATAAATGTTTACAGTAACTAAAATATTGATGAAATTCCATAAAAATAACAATCGTTTGGTTATGACAACAAAATATTGTTACAAAAAACATAGAATAGTTGTCCTAACTATGCCGAACCATGTTTTTTCTCTGCACATAATCGGGAGAGCATTCATTAGCGATCGAAACAAATAGTAGAGATACGGGGCAAAGTCTATTTCCAAATAGTTTTTAACTGGTATTATAATATGTCGACGATCTGTCTCATGGTCGAATATAACGCAAAAAATTTTTCGGCCAACGCTTGATTCAAATGAATCCGTTGAATTCGGATTCATTACCTCAACGCCCCGAATATATGGTTTTGGTATCGATACGGCTGGTTGGCTGGACTAAAAATACGATTTTTTACGTTTCAGGCAATCAAAATGGATTCAATGAAGGACCATTTCGAAAGTGCAAAATCTTTCAATTCGTATGGTACCCAATGTATGGCTTTTGGTTGAATTCTGTTATTCGGAAACGTTTTGAAATTTATGCTTGACAGCAATCTACATGAAGTAATGCCTCCAATTCCTGGTCTTCAATCTTTTTGTCTTCCTTGACATAATAACCAATATTGAAACGCATAAACCATCTAGCGTAAGTTGAAGACGATATAACACATTCATCATAAGCTTCTGTGTGATTTAGCGGAACTTTTTTCAAATTAAAGAAGTAAATCAAAACTTTCGATATTTTTGGTCCATCTACTATTTAAAGTACCAAACAACACGAACGGGGACTATATTTTGAATATAGTTGATATTACCATACATATATGAATAGAAAGGATTATGAGTTAAATATTTTTTTGATGCAGAGTTTTTAATTTCCAAATGTTTTTGTTATTTACCAACTTTTTAAAGTATTACAAATCAAATGCATAAATCAATAAAAAGGATAAATTTACTCTAATCGTCCTAATTGCCATTATCTGCATCAGACATGATTTTCATTAATATTATAAACATGATTGAATGTCCTACTTAACTTCCTTAAATTAAAAAGCATTATGTATTTGACTACTACCCAACAAACAGTTAGAAGTCAAAACTTTTGCAAACTTCTGAATGATAGTCTAGGGTAATAAAATAATGAGTTGGAAAACAATGTTGGTATTCCGAATGTATTTATACGCTGCGATTTAGAGGTTTCACTATGCTAGAAGAGACGGCAAAAAAATACCAATTTATTGCTAACGATTTTTCATCTTCTTTTTGTGTATGTTTAAGTCACTTCTGGAAGACAGTTGTTATGCATTTTAAAATGCCAAATACTCATCATGTGAAAACGACTTCTTGAATATTTCCGCACTATAATATATTTGTAGAGTAATCATTTGAATTTGTTTCAGGTCAGCTCTCTAAATAACAGGTTTCATCACAATAATTTACCACTCGAAAATCTAATTAGTTAAACTTATATTGTCCCCATTGTAGTGTCAGTGCGTTTTGTTGCTATTCAAATTAACTAAAACTTCGTTTTTGGGTGAAATAAATATTTACACTGTAATTGCATTGGTAACACAAATTACTCCGATTACTAACAAATTATAATTACATACACGCACAAAGACATACTTATAACACACATTTTCATTAGGACACGTACACAATTGTATTATACATTTATTGTACAAGTACACTCAATAGGACATGACTGATAAAAAATATTACACACATACAAATGTAAGCGAACAATAGAAAATTATATAAAAAGTGTAGCTTTCTAATGCATGTGTGGAAAACACACACACAGAAAAAAACTCAGGTATAAATAGAGTAGTAGAAAAAGTTAAAGGCTTCTTTAGGGCACAGGGCTTACAGGTTTCCTTGATATAATATGAAAATTTCATTATTACGAGATATCCATGTGACAGATAATTAAGGATTTGCGGAAGGCCCTTTGTTTTAATTAAATACTTAATACGTCTCTGTCTCAGTGTAGTGTCACTTTTGAGTACATTTGTATTCATTTATTAAACTACTAGCTCTAGTTATTGTTGCTGCTGTTCTATAATAAATATTGTCTATTCTCTAACACCCATTTTAACAAGTGCAATCAATTTACTGTATTTATATGGAAGCATTTGGCATTATTTAGTGTTGATACGAGCGGTATTCAACCGTAACAACTCAACTCACTAATTGTCGTTACGTATACACATACATTGTATGTATGTGTGTACGTATGTACATTGTATGTATGTCTATATGTATGCCTAATTTTATATGTGGGAATATTTCAAACATATTTAACTAGGTATGCGTGAGTAAAAGTGTTTATGTATTTCATTATAATAAACTACTTGACTTGATATACGAGTAGAGTGTAGTGAAGGCAGAAAGTTAAAAGTATAAAATCATAAAAAAATGTATCCAAAAATTCTAAAATTCAGAGAAAATTGTCTGATAAAAAGGAAATTTAAAGTAAATTTTCTGGTAAAAACTAATTTTAGCGAAAAATTAAAAAAAAAAAAAAAATAAAATGAAATTTTTCTCAAAAAAAAAAAAATTATCGTTAATGACCTATAAAAAGGAAATTTATCGGAAAAGATCTATAAAGTGGAATTTTATCGGAAATGATCTTTAAAAAGGAAATCTATCGGAAATAATCTTTAAAACGGAAATTTATCGGAAATGATCTTTTAAAAGGAAATTTATTGGAAATTAACTATAAAAAGGAAATTTATCGGAAATGATCTACAAAAAGAAAATTAGTCGAAAAAGATCATTAAAAAGGAAATTTATCGTAAATGACCTATAAAAATTAAATTTATCAGAAATGATCTAAGAAAAGGTAATTTATCGGAAATGATCTACAAAAAGAAAATTAGTCGGAAATGATAATCAAAAAAAAAAAATTCGGAAAAGATCTATAAAATGGGAAATTTATCGGAAATGATCTTTAAAAAGGAAATTTATCGGAAATAATCTACGAAAAGGAAATTTATCGGAAATGATCTTTAAAAAGGAAATTTATCGGAAATGATCTACAAAAAGAAAATTTATCGGAAACGATCTTCAAAAAGGAAATTAGTCGGAAAAGAGCTATATGAAGGAAATTTATCGGAAATGATCTTTAAAAGTGAAATTTTTCGGAAATGATAAATAAAAAGGTAATATTTCGAAAATGTTATTAAAAAAGGAAATTTATGGGAAATGATCTATAAAAAGGAAATTTATCGGAAATGATCTATAAAAAGGAAAATTTTCGGAACAGATCTACTGGAAGGAAATTAGTCGGAAAAGGTCTATAAAAAGGTAATTTATCGGAAATGATCTTTAAAAAGGAAATTTATCGGATCAGATCAACAAAAAGAAAATTAGTTGGAAATGATCATCAAAAAGAAAATAATTCGGAAAAGATCTATAAAAAGGGAAATTTATCGGAAATGATCTATGAAAAGGATATTTATCGGAAATGATCTTTAAAATGGAAATTTATTGAAAACGCTCTACAAAAAGAAAATTTTTCGGAAATGATCTTTAAAAAGGAAATTTATCGGAAATGATCTTTAAAAAGGAAATTTATCGAACATTTTCTAATAAAAAGAAAATTTATCGAAAATTTTGTAACAAAAAAAATGTATTGAAAATTTTCTAATTAAAAGAAAATTTATGGAAAATTATCTAATAAAAAGAAATTTGTGGAAAATTTTCAATAAAAAAAATTCTATAAAATGAAAATTTCTCGAAAATTTTCTATAAAAATAAAATTTCTTAATAATTTTCTATAAAAAAGAAAAATGTTTCCAAATAAATAAATTCAACTGAAACGTTTTCATTAAGAGTTTAATAAAATACAATTAAGAGTTTAATAAAATACAATATTTTAAATTTCTGTTTATCTAAAGTAATTGATACGTAGGTTAATTCGTTTTTATTCGAAAAGTTATAACAGTTATTTAATTCAAAAATATTTGCAAATTGTGCAATCAATTGTTGTAGACATCAAAGTTAAATAATATAACAAGCAGACTTAATATTAATTTTAACACACCTCGAAATTCAAATTAAACTAATATAGAAATCTGTATTCTCATCTTCTCAACTCAACCACGTATAGTCTGAAATAAAAACTATTATTGACACAATTCTTCTACTGTCAACTTGTCTCGTTGAATTCTGCATTTATGTAAATGTCATATTAATTTTATCAAAGGACTCATTTGTATCTTGCAGATCTTATGGCAAGATGTTATATTATAGTAGCGTTAATAAATGGTTATAAATAGAAAGACATGTGTCATTATGTATTGACTGCAGCAGAACACATCTTTTATGACATTTATTAAGACCATTGCATGATTGATTGATAAATTAAATTGCAAATAATTGAGTAAATAGCACAATTAAGAAATTATTGTATTTTAATGTAAAACTTTTCTTATTACACTATTTAAGATATAATTTTTCTTCTTTCTTTGCAGGTAAATATCAAATAATTTAAATATTGACATGAAAAGGGAAACAGAAAATATCAAATAGTAGCAATTAATTAACAAGTAAGTTAATCACATTTAAATTTATAAAAAGTAACAATAAAGATTGAAATAAAATTTTATATTTAATCATATGGGAGGTGTTACCCACACTATTGCAAGCTTGTCCATTTTTCAAACTTTCATATTGATCGCCCTTGCAACACTTATAGTTTCCCAAATATATGAATTTTAAGTTTCACAAATTTTGTTTTTTCAAGAAAATTTTCTTTTTTCGAGAATTTTCAAGAAATTTTCTTTTGATAGAGAATTTCCAAGAAATTTTCTTTTTATAGAAAAATTTCCAGAAATTTTCTTTTTATTGAAAATTTTCCAGAAATTTTCATTTTATCGAAAATTTTCCAGAAATTTTCTTTTTATAGAATATTGTTCAGAAATTTTCTTTTTATAGAAAATTTTCCAGAAATGTTCTTTTTATAGAAATTTTCTTTTTCAGAAATTTTCTTTTTATAGAAAATTTTCCAGAAATTTTCATTTTATCGAAAATTTTCCAGAAATTTTCTTTTTATAGAAAATTTTCCAGAAATTTTCTTTTTATAGAAAATTATCAAGAAATTTTCTTTTTATAGAAAATTATCAAGAAATTTTCTTTTTATAGAAAATTTCTTTTTATAGAAAATTATCAAGAAATTTTCTTTTTATACAAAATTTTCCAGAAATTTTCTTTTTATACAAAATTTTCCAGAAATTTTCTTTTTTTAGAAAATTTTCCGGAAATTTTCTTTTTTTAGAAAATTTTCCAGAAATTTTCTTTTTATAGAAAATTTTCCAGAATTTTTCTTTTTATAGAAAATTTTCCAGAAATTTTCGTTTTATAGAAAATTTTGCAGAAATTTTCTTTTTATAGAAAATTTTCCAGAAATTTTCTTTTTATTGAAAATTTTCCAGAAATTTTCTTTTTATAGAAAATTTTCCAGAAATTTTCTTTTTATAGAAAATTTTCCAGAAATTTTCATTTTATAGAAAATTTTCCAGAAAATTTCATTTTATAGAAAATTTTCCAGAAAATTTCATTTTATAGAAAATTTTCCAGAAATTTTCTTTTTATAGAAAATTTTCCAGAAATTTTCTTTTTATAGAAAATTTTCCAGAAATTTTCTTTTTATAGAAAATTTTCCAGAAATTTTCTTTTTATAGAAAATTTTCCAGAAATTTTCTTTTTATAGAAAATTTTCCAGAAATTTTCTTTTTATAGAAAATTTTCCAGAAATTTTCTTTTTATAGAAAATTTTCCAGAAATTTTCTTTTTATAGAAAATTATCAAGAAATTTTCTTTTTATACAAAATTTTCCAGAAATTTTCTTTTTATAGAAAATTTTCCAGAAATTTTCTTTATATAGAAAATTTTCCGGAAATTTTCTTTATATAGAAAATTTTCTTATTATAGAAAATTTTCAAGAAATTTTCTTTTTATAGAAACTTTTCCAGAAATTTTCTTTTTATAGAAAATTTTCCAGAAATTTTCTTTTTATAGAAAATTTTCCAGAAATTTTCTTTTTATAGAAAATTTTCCAGAAATTTTCTTTTTATAGAAAATTTTCCAGAAATTTTCTTTTTATAGAAAATTTTCCAGAAATTTTCTTTTTATAGAAAATTTTCCATACATTTTCTTTTTATAGAAAATTTTCCAGACATTTTCTTTTTATAGAAAATTTTCCAGAAATTTTATTTTTATAGAAAATTTTCCAGAAATTTTATTTTTATAGAAAATTTTCCAGAAATTTTATTTTTATAGAAAATTTTCCAGAAATTTTCTTTTTGTAGAAAATTTTCTGTAAAAGAAATGTTTTTTTTATAGAGAATTTTCAAGAAATTTTCTTTTTATTAAAATATTTTAAAGAAATTTTCTTTTTATAGAGAATTTTCAAGAAATTTTCCCCTTTTAAAAAATGTTCAAGAAATTTTCTTCTTATAAAGAATTTTCAAGAAAATTTCTTTTTAAAACGAATTTTCAAGAAATTTTCTTTATGTTAGAAAATTTTCGAGAAATTTTTTTTTTATTGAAAATTTTCGAAAAATTTTCTTTATGGAAAATTTTCCAGAAATTTTCTTTTTATAGAAAATTTTCCACAAAATTTCTTTTTATAGAAAATTTTCCAAAAATTTACTTTTTATAGATAATTTTCCAAAAATTTTCTTTTTATAGAAAATTTTTCATTTTTCGCTTGAATATTCTCATGGATACTAAAGTTCTTTGTGCAAAATTTTAAGTTTTTATCTACAATAGTTTCCCAGATAAACGATTTTTTGTATTTAATTCATATGGGAGGTACCACGTCCATATTTCTAGCCCGCCCATTTTTTATTTTTAAAATTCATGTTGATAGCAAAGTGTCTCCGGAAGACTCTAGCTGTTATATTTTCTCAGATATACTAATTTAATATTTTCTTTAAATGGAGGGTACCATGTCCACTATATCTACGCTGCCTTTTGTATCATATGGATGCCAAAGTTGTCCATACAAAATTTGATGACTGGAGCTCTTGCAGTTTCTGAGATATGCGACTTTTAATACTTATTTTGTATGAGGGCGTGACACATCGCCCACTTAAAATTTTGAAATAAAAGGTAACCTATAGTTCCTTTTAGACATATAGGAAGAGTGAAAATTTCAGCAAACAGAAATTTTATATTCTTTTATAGAGAAAACTTTTGTTATAGACTCTTTTGTTTATGGAACAATTTTAAGAACCACTTTCTGAGTCGATTATGCTATGTCCGTCTGTCTGTCTGTCTGTCTGTCTGTCTGTCTGTCTGTCTATCTGTTTGTCTATATCAACATTGTGTGCACGCTACAGGTCGCAATTTTCAAGATAATTTAATGTAATTTAGTACATACTCTTCTTTTAAACCATTAGTTCGCCTAGCCATCATATAAGCGTACCCAGTCAATAGGACTTTTGATCGAGCCTCAGTTAACCCTAGCCCACATATAAAGTTTTTTTGTAGACAAATTTCTATGAAGCTTCTATTTTATAGGCAATTTGAGATAATTTTTTTTTTTACATTTTTCGACAAATTTTCAAAGGGAAAATTAAATTTTTTTTAAATATTTTGATAAATTTTCTTTGTTTTTATGAAAATATCACAAAAGTTTTCTTTTGAAGATACACTTTGAAAAGAAGTTTTGAAATATTATCTTTAAAACTTAATTGCAGGGTTCATTTAAAGCTTCATATTTTAAATAACTTATTAATCATTTAATAAAAAATTCCACAAACAATTTTAAAAACGTAAGTAAATTTTTTTAAAAAATTAATTTATTTATGTCTCTTACTGATAAGAGATGCTAATTAACTACATATTTATTATTTACTATTAAAAGAGGTATACATTTTTGTATTTAATAAATAAAAAAAATAAAATTTATTTAGAAAAAAAAAAATCAATCTACATTATCGCCACAAATGACAGGCATCATGTGGATACAGCCGATGATTTCTATTGCAACTGAAAGTTTTTGCAAATTCCGGAAAATGTGTTAGAGCATCGGTAACACGCTCACGATCAGAACCATGATCTGACATTGAAGAAAAATCCTCAGGTGAAGTATTGCCGCAAAAGAATTGAGCAAAATTCAAAAAGAAGACCTTACTCATCGATATTTCTTGGCCATAAATGCGACGTGTTTTAGTTAAAGCATCAGGATTGGCATCAAAAAATGCCTGATAAGCATAACGTAAACCACTAACATCGGCAATTTTCTCACTTATTACTAAAGGATTAAGTTCTAGTAGGCAATTGAAACTGGCATTGAATAAAGGATTGTCTTCGAATTGTATTAAGCTCATGCTGCCATTGGCATCTGTTAAAAGGCCACTGTCATCGAAACCATGAAACATTTCATGAGCCAACAGGAATCCCAAAGAACTGTATTTATAGATATCATCCATATCGGGACTATAGATGGGAGGCTGTAGTAAGGTTAAGGGTACAAAGACATAGTTAGCATTTTGCACAAAAAAGGGGGAGGAGCTAGAACCAGTTTCACTATTTTCCAAATAAGTAAAATCTAAAATGGTGGTTTTACTATTTAAAAGCTGCTGACGTGCCTGGAAGTTAAATCTCAATAATTTCAAATGATTTTCATAGAACTTATCTGCAGCTAAATCCAAAGGCTTGTAGAATTTCTCCAATGTTGCTACAGTACCTCTGCGTGGTATATTATTGAGTCTTAGTTTCATATTGTTGATTTTATTTTGCAAATATTCTATGACAGTGGCATTGAAACCATGATTATTTTTGATAATGGTATTATTGAAATGTTTACGTACATTATTAAACATTTCATAAATGGCAGCATATTCTCGAGCCAGTTCGGGATGTTGCTCTTCATACAACCAATGCATGGCAGTGGACATTAAACTTCTGGTGCTACCCAAACAATCTTCATCTAAGAAATTGGCAGGACCATCTTGATGTAAATGCCATAAGAATCTTATTTCCAAATATTTGCAGATAAAACGTGGTGTATATTGTTTGAGCAGAGCATCTAAAGCCTTCATATAGGGTATATTTTGTATATACAAAGGCATTTGGGGATTTAAATCCGTTTGATTGAGTATGACTTTTAAATAATCCTTAAGCCAATCTAAGGGTAAATCTTTAACATAAACCAAACGCTCCTTTAAATAATCCTCTTCATTATCCACTTCAGTGTCTTCGATTTCATCTAGCTGTTGTAATTTGTTTTCAAAATTTTCTATTTCCAGCCATAATTTCTGCAATTCCTCTGTACTTATGGCTGCCGGTAAAGAATTCATTAAAACATTTAAATTCACCTCAGTCAAGGGTTTAAAACCACCATCCATTACTGGTTTATCTATATCTATAATAAATGATTTAACATCATTTATTTCGGACATAACTATTTGCTGTATGAAAACATCATTTAAGCCATAAGTACGCATTTTTGCCAATGTTTGCACCCAATCAAATTGGGTATTTTTCTTGGGCGGTGTCCACAATGAGGGCCATTTAAATTGATCATTGGCTTTCAGCCATACTAGATATTTAACGGCTTCATATTTACTCAAATCCACACAGGATGTATAATAATTATAAGCATTTTGTATAAACTTGGGTTTGTTGCGTGGCATAAACCGCTTAAAAACACCCGACATTTCCTTATTGACATTATAATCCAACATGGTTATGGGTTCATAGTATTTTGTACCCGCCTCCAGAAATACCTCATCCCAATTGCCACAGGCAAATTGATAGAAATCATTACAAGGATTCGCCTTCAAATCCATAGAACCCTCAATAATTTTCTTTTGTTTGCGATTTGTCTGGCGACTGTTGTAAGTAGTGGCAGCTTCACTCCGCCATAATTGCAGCAGGATCATTAAGGTTAAAAACACTTGTATAAATTTCATTTTAATTTTGAATTTTTTTTTTAATTTTCTTCTCTCAATTTATTTTAATTTCCAAAACAACTTATTGATTGCAATGCTTATTAACGACTGCTAATTGTTTTGTTTAGCAGCAGGCATTTGCAGTATTAATTTGAATTTTTTATAGATTTACAAAATTTTTGTTTGCAAAAAAAAAAAAAAAAACACAAATTTTGTTTGTCTTATCAGCTGTATTCTATAAAAATTTGTTTCACACTGTCACACACTGTCATTATCATGGTTCTTCCTATGAAATAAAGGGGTTTCTCCATACAATTTTTTATATATACTTAGTTGTTGTTATTAACTGATAAGCTTGAATTTTGAAAATGGGAAGTATATTGCAAAAAAAAAAAGAAATAAATATAAAACAGAATGTGATTGATGAAATTCAAGTTTAAGCATATTAAAACTAAAAAAAAAAACTAACTAAAATTTTCTATACAATAAAATTTAACTAAAATTTTCTATAGAAAGAAAATTTAAAGAAAATTATCTATGAAAAGAAAATTTTGTATAAAAATAAAATTCAAAGAAAATTTTTTATAAAAAGAAATTTTCTCAAAAATTTTCTATAAAAAAAAATTCCCGCAAATTGTCTATGGTTTACGTGGTAGTTCACTGCACGCGAACTGTGAAGTACAGTCGAAGAGACTCCGTTTTGACCGGACCACTCCACTCGTTAGATGTAGTATTTATAGTATTTGATCCAGCCTGTAGCGGTGAGAAATCTGAGAGTAGCATTAAGAATAGACCCAGGTATCCCTTAGATATGAAGTAACTGCAAAGAAGCGGTTTCTCTATACAGCAAGAGCAGGGTATTCACAGAGGAGATGGAAGACCGTTTCTTCCTTTTCCCTGTCTTTGCAACTACGACAGTGATCGTTGAAAGAGAGACCAAGCCGACTTGCATGTCTGCCTATCACCCAGAATCCTGTTATTACTGCTATCAGCCTCTATATGTCCCGCCTACTTCGGTTTATAAGGTGTCTTGTGCGTTTCTCATTGAAGGAGGGCCACAATAAATTGGCCCCTTTAAAGATTCTGGTGGTATATTCGCTCGGTAGGTTACCTCTACACCACTCGCTCCTGGAAGGAACTCTGACTTTGAAAACTCTATCAAAGTCAGTGTGTAGGGTAATATAGTCGGATGGTTAGTTCAAGATTGGAGGTAATAGGCTTAAAATCTTAGCGTGTCCATATGTTCTTGATCTTCAACTTACGGATTAGTTAAGCATCGCTGCCATTATATGTAGATCTATAGGTAGGATTTGCAATATAGTGTTCTGAAGGACTAGTTCTTAGAGCACCTGTTATCCCAATGAATGCTGATCTTTGAACTTTGAATAGCTGAACTACCACAAACTTCTTCTTAGTTGAAGTCCACCATACAAGATATCCGTATGTAAGAATATGAATATAGCTGTGTACATGAACTTAACTATGTTGGGACTAAGTCCCCATTTTATTCCAAATATCTTAAGACAGGTATAGTAGGCGACCGTTGCCTTCTTGACTCTTCTGGATGTTGAGTTTCCATGATAATTTGTAGTCTAGAATAATTCCTAAATATTTGGCATTATTTGATAAGGGGATTTCGTAGTTCTTCAACCTAGGCAAGTTGAAACTTGGAATTTTGGTCTTTGTTGTGAATATTACCAGTTATGTCTTGCTTGGATTTACTCCTAGACCACTGTCTGTGGCCCAGTTACTGAGTAGCATCAAAGCACCAGACATAATATAGCTAATCACGTCTGAGAACATTCCTGATAGCAGTATCACAACATCGTCCGCATAAGCAACGACTTTTATAACTCTGTTGTCCAGTTCAATAAGAATCGAGTTAACAACGATGAGCCAAAGTAGTGGAGAGATTACGCCGCCCTGTAGTGTACCTCTTTCCACTGGCTTGGACTTACCAAGACTATATACTCTTCAACATCTAGTTTAGCAAGAGCTTGTTGAATTGCAGAAGTATTTACGTTATTGAAGGTACCTTCTATGTCTATGAAGGCTCCCATAGTATATTCTCTCTTACAAAATTTTCTATAAAAATAACATTTTTTACAAATTTTCTATAAAAACATTTCTCGAAAATTTCTTATAAAAAGAAAATAGCTTGAAAATTTTTTATAAATTTTTTTTATAACGATGAAAAATATTGGTCCCACTTGAAGGTTGGTCAGTCTGTCTGTCCGGCTGGCTGACCATTTAAACCTTGTGCGCATTTTTTAAAAAATTTTTGAAATCGTTCCATTATTTGACCTGGTCTCCATCCATTGCTTGCAAGTGTGAGTAAGTACAATTTTGAAAAGTAACACTTAAATTAAGTACACATTGGTATTGATTACAGAGTCGAGCGCAGAAATTCTTGAGTTGAGAGTAAAAAACTATTTTTAGAAGTGTTGCTACTTTGGGAATAAAGTTTTTGTCTGGAATGTTCTGAAACTAAGCAATAATCGTGCATAAATTAAGAATACAATTCTTGAAAAAAACACCTATATTTGTAGTTAACGATCTTGTTTTTTTTAAATGTTGTATTTAATATAATAATTTAGTTTTATTTGGAATACTTCCCAAAATAAATTTTCTGCAACATTTCTCATTAAGACGTGTTGGGGCACTTAATGGTCTATAAAAACTATAACACAGGCCAACAAATTTTGAATTAGTCTATACATAGAGAATAAAGTGTTCCAGTAAAATATTTTCAAATTTTAGTGAAAAGCATTGTAGGTCATGTAGTTATTTCACACATTACTTGGTAATGAGTGGTAGTTATCAATAACATTAATTATATATTTTTTTAATAGGATTTGTAGCCAATTGTCTATAGCATTGTCTATAGAATTAGTGGTTCTAACCCTACTCAATGTTAGAAGTTTTTTTTTAAGAAATATTGACTTTTAGATTTGTGTAAAACCATTCCAAATAGCATTGATTAAGAGAAATGACTAATAAACATAGAAAATTACTGATAAGCCGGTTTTCAATCCGAAAAAGTCGGGAAAGCACATTTATAACCAGTTATTTTTTGGACATCGTCAAACAAAAATAAGTAGTTATTAACCCAAAAATAAGCACTTACACTTTGCTCCAATATTACTTGACTACTTACCGGTTAAGTAAAGATTTTGCTGAGATACTTTTCGTAAGGATTGAGCTACACATGAGTATGAAAAGGCCATAAAACAGATAGATTAGTTGATGGTATAACATATTTTAAAAATAAAAGTGTCTTTTAAAATAGTGTACTCTAAGCTCTAGTGTAAAAATTTGTAGGCCTGTGTAAATGTTAGAACGATAAATACATTAAAATGAAAAAAATATATATAATGTTATTATAAATTTATGGAAAAAGTAATAAAAACTACACATTCATCTTCAAACTTGAGAGCCGTTAACGCAGTCGTATTGCGCTTATTTTTTATAACATAAGTATTAGTTGTCAAAGTGATTACAATGGTTACTGGTTTTCTTCAAACATGTAGGAAATATTGATATTTAATTTTTCAAGTTGTTATGTGAAAATCGATGTCTTGATTTGGCTGAAATTTGCACCAGGTTAGTACTATTGGATAGTAGGCCAGACACAAAATTTCAGCTCTATTGGTCATGAACTGTCGGACTTGGAGCGAGTCAAAGTTGGACATCTTGGTCATACAGGGTTTTATTTAAATGAGTGTAACTTTTCACCTATTGGTCCTATCGAAAATTTTCAAAGGAGTTCAGATAGTTATTCCTTTATTGTTTCCTATTGGCCTACTATCCAATAGTACTAACCTTGCTGCAAATTTCATCTAAATGGATTTTTTGAGTTGAGTCACTTGACACGAAATTGTCCATGAATGTAACAAAATATAATCAACAAATAGAAATACTAATTTTATGGTAAATTCGAATTAGAAGAACGTATTTAACATGGCATTGACATTATATTGCATTATTTTTAATCCATTGAGGAGAGATTAAATAAGAGGAAATTGTCATAGATCTTCCTCTTGACATTCTAAATATAAAGCTATAAAAATTATTAAATCCGTCTTGTAGGTTTCTTAACCTTTGACCTTTAAGAACAAAATTATCCATCATAAAGTTTCTGCTGCAAATAAACTGTTGCTACAGTTTGTTTGCAGCTCTTATCGGGTTAACTAATAATATTAAGTAATTCCACTCAATAGTATTAGTTTTTATATTTTTAGCTAGAATAGATAATCCAATTGCTTTTTTAACGCCCCAAATTATTAAAATATTTTTTTTTTATTTATTTAGAAAACAAATATTTATAGACAAGCATTTATTTAGACACTTAAATACAATTAGAATAGCTTTATTAGATTCAGTTTATTGACTTTTATATGTAATTTTTTGAAGACACTATTAAATATTAGTGCAATTGTATATAAATAACAAATAATATTCATATAGATCTGATAAAGGTCTCTAGAAAATTACATAGACAGTTCTGGAAATAGACAAAAGGTCAAATATAGTAGAAGATTAGTTTAATAATAATTAAATAATGCATATAATTTGATAGACAGAATTGTGAGCTCGATAATAAGTACACAGAGGCAGGGGGTAAGCACTTCAATAAATGGTATTAGACTAAGGTCTTTTTATACCCTTCACCACTATAGGGTGTAGGGTATTATGCTTTTGTGATGACGTCCAAAAATATTGGTACTACACTTTCTGAGTCGATTAAACTATGTCCGTCCGTCCGTCCGTCTGTCCGTCTGTCCGTCTGTCTGTCTGTCTGTCTGTCTGTCTGTCTGTCTGTCTGTCTGTCTGTCTGTCTGTCTATCTGTCTATCTAACTTTAACGTAACCATAACGTATAAGGATAGGCTCATATTTAACCTTGCCCCCACATAACTCTTCTTTTGGAAAATACCTTTTTTGTCAATATTTTTAACATACGCACTAGTGTAGGGTATCATACAGTCGTTCATGTCCGACTGCCCATTCTTACTTGTTGCATTTTTATTTTTTTTGAATTCAAAATATTTTATGTAAGTTGCCTTAAAATATACAATTTTAAATTTAAAATTTATAAATTTTTATTTAAACAACAAATATCAGCTAAAAAAAAATATTTCGC